TGTCACCCTGACCTCCATGTCATTTGGAGTACTCCATTATGTCCAAGACTTCTCCTCTACGTTCTTCTTTTTTTTTTTTCTTTTTTCTAAAATAGGTTTTTATTTATTTCGAAGTGGAAGAAAGAGGGAGAGAGAGATGGAAACATCAATGATGAGAGAGAATCACTGATTGGCTGTCTTCTGCACGCCCCCTATTGAGGGTAGAGCCCGCAACCCAGGCATATGCCTTTGAGTAGAATCAAACTCAGGACCTTTCAATCCTTAGACCAATGCTCTGTCACCTGAGCCAAACCAGCTAGGGCACCTCTCCTTATTCTGAAGCCCCAAAAGAAAAAGGAGAGAAGAGGAGAGTGAGAGGAGAGAAGAAAGAGACACATTCACAGAGCGGGGCCTCAGAAGCTCCCAGGGTACCCTATAATAGGAATATCGCATCCTCCATGATGAGAGTCTATTTGGAAAACACTTCTTTCTACAAGATATCTTTATATGAGGAGAGGAATACCTTTTTGAGAATCTAACTGTCCTCATAGAGGTTGGGCTGCCCCTAGTGAGCCATGTGACTTTGGACATGTGCCCTAGCTTCTCTGAGACTGTGCCCTAGCTTATCTGAGACTCAGCTTCTATGTGTGTAAAATGGGTATAACAAGGCCTTCCAGCACCACCACCACCCCTCCCTGCGTCCCTGTCAAGCATCCCATTGTTTTCTGGACATTGTCACTGAGCATGCTGTACAAAAACCGGACACGACACAATTCCGTCTTGGGTGGAGCACAGGAGGAGAAGTGAAGGAAAGGTCAGGGGAGTGGGAGCACCTACTTTCCTGTTTCTGATTCCCACCCTCCTCCCTCATCCCCCAGCACTTTCTCTTTCTCTTTCTCTAAACCCTCTTCCTCTTGGTCCTGGCTGCCTTTAACCCCCACCGCCCAATTTTGTTGTTGTTTCTATTTTTTTATCAAAGCCTCCCCAGTGCAGAGAACTGCCTGTTTGGTGTGAGGAGCAGCCGTGACCACAGAGGTGGTGGAGAGATGGCCCTCTGCAGTGTCCAGGTCCAGGCTCCCTTCGTGATCCCAGTGAGTTCCAGGCTGTGGGCACAGCGATGCTGGAGGGCTGACTGGCTGCCTTGCCAGGGAAGCCACGCTGGGTCTCCTAGGAAACCAGACTGGGATGGCAGAGGGCACATGGGGGGCAGACATGCCTAATGGGGTCATCTGAGACAACCTCTCCCTAGGCCGGTCTCACCTGCCTCTCAGGACCCAGGGATGATAATCACTGCAGTGGTGCATTGCACAGATGGTGCTAAGCTCCCTCTGGGCTCCTGACGTGTCCTGGGTGCTGAGGGCAGGAGGACACTGGGCAGCACTGGAAGAGTGGGCTCTGTTGGGATGAAAGGGGAAGTCAGCAGGGCTTCTCGGGGAGCCCAGCAGCCAGGCCTGGGCACTGACTTAGGAGATGGCCTCCCTGGGTTCAGCCGTTTCCTAGCCAAGTGGCCTCAGTCGAGCTGCTGTTAGCTCTCTGGGACTCAGTTTCCACATCTGTAGAATAATAGGGGTGAGCCTCACCTCAGAACCCTTAGCCTGATCCACTCTGGGCTGCAGGACATTCTGGGGTTTCTGTGGGTGGACAGATAAGGGGCTCGGTGTAAACTCTTGTCTGTGTTGTGTGCACCTGTAAATATTGTCGATAAGAGTGTCTGTTCATGGCTCTTGTGTTTCTCTTTGTGGCTCAGTTTAATTTGTTTAAAGATGGGGGCAGCCAGGACCGGTTTGGCTCAGTGGATAGAGCGTTGGCCTGCGGACTGAAAAGTCCCGGGTTCGATTCCAGAAAAGGGCATGTACCTTGGTTGTGGGTACATCCCCAGTAGGGAGTGTGCAAGAGGCAGCTGATGGATGATTCTCTCGCATCAATGTTTTTAACTCTCTATCCTTCTATCTTCCTCTCTGTGAAAAATCAATAAAAATATATTTTTTTAAAAAAAGATGGGGGCATATCCCACTTAACTGGGGGTCCACCCACGTGTGGAGGACTGAACCCTTAGCAGGGAGTTCAGGAGCTTCCCAGTAGCTGCCACGAGTTCTTTATGTCAGGGACCCTCCCTGCTTTCCCTCTCAAGGCATCCGCTGCCCAAAACACTTAGCTAGCTTGTTTCCCCGAAAATAAGACATCCTCTGAAAATAAGACTTACTTACAGGTTTCCTTCTGAGTGAAATATAAGGCATCCCCTTGAAAATAAGGCCCTCCCTAGGCTCTGTCTCAGAATGCTATTGCTAAACATGAGAGATTTGGTCCACTGATTCTGAAAGAAATGGAGTCACAAGAAATTCACCAGGAAATTCAGGAATTGGATTGTTATGATGATATTCCAGAAGATGATGACATGATTGTCATTGAATAAATGAGTGAATTCTTGATACTGTAGGATTCACAGTTTGTCTGGTTTGTGTTGACAACTACCGTACTACCGTACCATATACAGGTAATAAATTTCCTTTAACAATAAATGTGTACCGTGTTCTTCTTCATGGAAAAATAAGACATCCCCTGAAAATAAGACCTAGCCCAGCTTTGGGAGCAAAAATTGATATAAGACACTGTCTTATTTTCGGGGAAGCACGGTAGTGTAAGAAAATCAGTCCGTTCTGTTTGAGAACTCTCTGCGAGCTCCTGTCTATAAGGGAATTTTGATTATAGTCTTTGCTTAGTTTCTCATCTTTTGGGGAGTCAGCTGGACTGTTTGCTGTTGAATCCTGTGTCTCTGCTGTTGGAGCTTCGTGCCATTCAGGCCTTTAAAAAGGTTCCTTGCTGCGCCAGTTGGTATGAAATACCATTTTCTGGTCCCAGGAATAGGCTAAGCTATTTGTAACATCATAAAAAATTAACCATATTATTATCAAAATTCAACTCCTGAAGGGCAGACTGCAGAACTGCAGAACTGCAGAACCTCCCTTCCCCTCTCCTTTTCCCTGTTATACTTCCATCAGCACTTAAAACAAGGCTTTGGAATCCAGGCAAAAAAGACGATGGGAGCATCTGTCCACCTCACACAGTCACCCTCTCCCGGTGACCAGTTAAATTCCATCAGTCATCATTTATCTCCCTCTTCCTCCAAAGTGTGCCAGGAAGACCGCACAGCCTGGCTGTTCTGCTGACCGGCTGACTTCCATGAGGGTCTGCCTCAGGGGCCTCACCCCCATTCCTTGCCCAAGCCCCACCGGCCGCATCTGGCCAGCCTCCTCAGAGGCCAGGGTGGAAGCTGGAACCACAGGCAGGACAAGACTTGCTGTTTGGTTGGGGAAGCCCTCAGAGAGCCAGGAGCCAGGATGTCTGTGCTTCATCCTGAGAAGCAGCCTGTGTGGGGCTTCACAGCATGGGTGCTGGGATTCACACCCCACTCTACCACGGACCGGATGGGTGGCTTTGGACATGTTACCAGACCTTCTGTGCTCAGTTTCCCCATCTGTAGGGGTGGCCCTGATAATGGCCAGGGCTGTTGCCAGGATAACTAGGAACAGCCAGGGAAATGGGCCCCAGAAGCACCTCAGAACCCTTGGGGCAGCAGCCTGTTTGGCTAAAAGGCTCCCACAGGCCCTGCAGTGAGCCCCGCGGGCCAGCTGTGGCTGCATGCCCACTGGGGACACTGGGCCTCCAGGAGGCTGCGCACCCTCTGGCCGGTGGCCTGGCTCTGCTGTCTGACCCTCCAGAGAGGAAGAGGAGGGAAGAGTCCTCAGCCTGCAGGCCTGGCGGGGAGCTGAAAGCAAGCTCTGACCCAGCAGAGGGTTAATCCATCTAAATTAATTCCTTAGAGCTGAGAGGACTCTATCCCTTTAAATGAGAGAGATGGTGTCTATTTTGTCATAGTCTCTACCACTCCCTATTGTTCCCTACCTACCTGGATCCTATAAGCATTTCCTTTATGTAGGGAGTTGGCTTAACGGAGAAGTTAGAGAAGATGTGAACTACTAGAGAAATGTGAAGATTGACTGGGCTGATAGTTATCTGCTAAGTAATGCAGGTTAACAGCACATCACATAAAAGGCATCCTGGAGGTAAGCTTTAAAATGTCAAGAAACCAATTTGGAATTTTATTCAGAAAGACTAAGAAGGAAGGAAGAGGTAGAGATACCTACTATGTGCCAGTCTCTTCCCCAGCCCTTTTCTCACCAAATCATGGACCTTACACAGAAGATAAGATTTATCCCTACGTTACAAATGAGGAAACTGAGGCAAAGAGGCCACATAAGCTTCCTGAGGTCACTCAGGAAATGAGCAGCAGAATGTGGCTCCAAACCTGGGCGATGCCTGGCTCTGAAACGATGCAAGCCTCACCCTAACCATTGTTCCTTCCAAGTGGCCCGGGAAGGGCATGTGACAAAATGGGCTCTTTGGAGCCTGGGAGGCCTGCAGACACCTCACTAGGGCCTTGGAGGTTGCCCAGGGCCTGGGGAGGGACTGGGGAGCAGGAGCAGAAGGGGAGGCTGCCCGGAGGCTGCAGAGCATCCAGGACCAGCTGCCACCTGAGGTGGCTGGGAGGGCAAAGGTCACGTTCACACTGTTCTATGGTGGGTGTGCAAGAGGATGCCTCCTTCTTGGCCTTCTCAGGGGAGCAGAAGGTTTATTTTTTAGGATAAGCTGCTGGCCTCCTTGCTCCCTTGGTTTTCAGAGTTTTCAACCAGGGCCCCGGGGCCTTGGCCAAGAGCCCCTCTCACTACCCTGGTTTCTTCCCCAGTCAGAGCCATGTTCATGCTACTTCCTTTACTGGAAAGCTACTACTTCCCCTTAAGAGAGGTCAGCTCTGGGTTACATCGTCTCGGAGCACAAGGGTCTCCCGTATCAGTCTCAGAATGAATGTGTAACTCCCTGGATTCTGGACTCCATATGCCCAATTCACACCTTAATCTGCCTGCTGGGACATTGCCCAACACAGCAGGCTGGCTACTAGCAAGTGCCAGAGGGATCAGACAGAGGGAGCAGGATCCTAACTGATTGCCTTCTTCTCCCTGCAGGCACTCGACATCCCAGGGGGTCTGAAGGATGGAATAGAGATCACTATCAAAGGAAGTGTTCTTATAAACAATGGAACCAGGTACCTGGAACTGTTGTTTCCCCCAGTCTAGCCCCTTAGCAAACCATGGCCCCTGTCAGCTCAGTGGCTCACCCAACACTGTCCAAGCTGCCTGTGTCTGACTAAGGGGTCACTGAATAGTAGGGCCCGGTCCCTGCCAACACTGCATGGCACCCCTGCCCTCTGCCAATAGCATCTGGACACCATTAACGTAGACTCCCCAGAGACACAGGCAGAGCGGGAGCTCACGGTCTCAGGCCAGCCCAGGGGCAGATGTTTATGGGCTAGGGTTGAACTTTGCACTCGAACACCCAGAGATGCAAAAACAATGCCTCCTTCACTTCCCATGACAGCTTTCATTTCCTCCATGGCCCTTGTTTGGCTGGTGTGAAAATATTTAAACTTGGCATCAAATGTAATCCAGTCTCTTTCTGTTTCAAGCTCATTCCTAGAAAACACTAAGGCAATGCAAAATACAAACATCTCCTTGGCACTGTCTCCCACCCAAGAGGGGACTTTGGGGCTCAGGAAAGACTTTCCCATCTTCTCAGAGGCCAAGCACCCTCTAATGCTGGCCCAGCACTGGCTGCCCGAGCTGAGGTCCGGGTGGTGAGGAGGTGAGGGGCTCTTGCCTGATTTGGGTGGGGCCCTCCCTCCTGGTGGCTGCCTGCTGAAGCCCCCGTTGCCCACAGAAGCCCTTCTGCATACATGGCCCTCTCTTAGAAGCCTCTGTCTCAATCCCAGGTGTTTTTGGTCCCAGGGCACCTTTCATCACCTCACACAGGGCCTGGGGACCTTTTGGATCCCTTCACATTCCAGGCCCAGCCCTACCTCATCTTGGCTTGTAGATTCTAGCCATTTTGTCCACCATCGCCTTCCCTGCCAGGTGGGCATAGGCACGCTCACCCTGTGACATCTCCCCGAGCCCTGAGTGCCTCCAGGAGATGCCATGGAGGATGAGGCTCCCAGATGGCTCTAAACCCTGTCAATGGGGAAGCTGAGCCCTCACCTCTGACCCCCCATCCCTTCTCTCTCCTTGTCCCTCTTCCTGCTGCCTGTCCTACTGTTCCCACTTCTTCCCATGGGCACTTTTGTACTCTCATCCCTGGGACCAGAGAAATGGAGTTGGATGACCACAGAGGGTCAGATACACCCAGAGATATTTCAGAAAGGGTAGCCTCATGTACAGCGGAATCTGGACTCAGTTTTCTGGTTCCAGAGTCAGTGGGAGCCTCCTTGGTTTTTCGTGTCCCCAGAGGGAGGGCTGGCTGGGCTCTGGGCCAGGGCTTCCCAACAGGCTGAGGGTCCCAAGAGGGAGCTGGTATCGAGGAGGCCCCCAGAGCTCGGCCTCCTCCACAGAGACACTAAATGGGCTCTGCAGGAATTGATTATAATGTCTAATAGGCCACCTCCAAGCTTGGTTCAGTGCCTGACCCTGTAGGGGAAGTAGAAGACATGAAAGTGGGGGAGGGAGGAGCCTTCCCTGAGTGCTGTGCATTAGCTGGGGACACCAGAGTGACCCCAAGAAGCAGGCTATTTACCATGTTCATGATGCCATCAGGGAAGGCTGGAGTAGACGCCTCGGTGGAGAACCTTGGATTGGAGCAAGTTTTAGGCCAAGTGTCAGGGAAAAGGCAGAACAAACATTTATTCTGGCCCTTTTATGAGCCCAGCTTCTTGGAAGGTTCTTTTACTTTTCTTTTTTTTAAAAAATTTTTTTTAGTTAATCTTTGCCCAAGCATATTTTTTCCAATCATTTTTAGAGAGAGTGGAAGGAAGAGAGAGAGAGACAGAGGAGAAACATCCATGTCAGAGAGACACATCAATTGGTTGCCTCCCTCACACTCCTCAACCAGGTCCAAAGATCAAGCCTATAACAGAGGCAGGTACTCTTGTCTGGAATCAAACCCTCACCCTTTAGTCAGTGGTTGGATGCTCTATCCACTGAGCCAAAGAGGCTAAGCCTTTTTTTTTTTTTTTAAAGTATATTTTTATTGATTTCAGAGATGAAGGGAGAGGGAGATGGAGATAGAAACATCAATGATGTGAGAGAATCACTGATTGGATGGCCTCCTGCTGGAAACTGAGCCTGCAACCTGCCTGACCTTGTATCCTAGCCAGGAATTGAACCATGACCTCCTGGTTCATAGATTGACGCTCAACCACTGAGCACACTGCCTGGGCTGGAAGGTTCTTTTGTTTTAATTCCTCACCTCAAAACCCAAAGGAAGTTTTGAGGGTGAGGACTTCCTTCTGAGAAAAGAGACAGGAATGAATATTCACTTATGTGGGGGCTTTCTGAACACTGCCTCAGTAACACCCCCAAAGAAGGGAGTCACCCCCTTTTCTTTGTTAAGTGTGACCATAGTTCTGAGTCATTCCCTCCACTTCCCATGACAAACGGTACCAGCTGAAGTCAGGGTCCAGTCCTAGGGACATTAGGGCACCTCTCCATACCTCATGTGTGAAACACACTCCAACCTCCAATGAGGAACAGACATACATCACGGAAGTTCTCATGCCTGGAGAGCCCATATCCAATGCATGCCTCCCCTGTTAGACAATGTCTTTGTAGGTAAACTCCATCAAGGTCACCTGCTCTCTCCATTTGTTCTCTTCCTTCCCAACTGAGCAGCCGTGAGCTGGCCTCTAACCCATGCCCACTGGGCATGAGAGGCTCTTGCTTCTGGACAAATTCCTGGATTTGCATGTTCATGCAAATGTGAGATCAGTTTCCAATACTTATGCTTCGTGAGGCTAGAGTCCACATTGATCTTTACCCCATACCTGCATATTTTTGTAAAGTCACGCTGGAAAGGGCAAAATGCAATAATTACACAAATCACACTAAGTTAGGTAGACAAAAAGGAAGGCAGCAAAGTGGGGTGGGTACACACCTGCCTCACAGGTTGTAGGCAAGTTAGTAGACACACACGGAAGTCAGAGGCCCCAGGCCCTCCTGCTCTACAATTGGAATAAACCAGAACACTGGTTTCTGTCCACCTAGGTTTGCTGTGAATTTTCAGACCAACTCCAGTGGCAATGACATTGCCTTCCACTTCAACCCTCGGTTTGAAGAGGGTGGGTATGTGGTCTGTAACACCAAGCAGAAAGGACTCTGGGAGCAGGAAGAGAAGTTGATGAGAAATCCCTTTGTGATGGGCATTCCCTTTAAGATCTGCATCCGGGTGGAGAGTGCCAGTTTCCAGGTGAGCAGGATTCTCCTCCCTCCCTCTCACTGCCTGTCCCCCTGCCCTATTGTAAACAGACAGCCAGTGTGTCCTCACTGCCTGTCACTACTTGAGCCAATTCAGCAGAGACAGTGCTGAATCATAATGAGCATTCATTCCAATACCGCTAGCAGTATGGGGAGAGCAGCAGGTCATCCACAAAAATCTACTCTGCACCCCATAAGCCAGCTGCTTCTATTGGGTAAAAGGACAAAGGATTGACAGGGAAATAGCCAAAGAGGATGCCAAATGGGCTGTTAACAGGTAAGCAGGCTGGAAATTTGAGAAGGCTGTAAGTGTGCAAAAGTACTGGGAATCTTCAAAGGCTAGTGATATGCAAGGGCTGGGCCTTCAAAGGGCTATAGCTCTAGTTTCTGCAAGGAAGTTGTGCATCTTTCCATAAGAATAGGCTGCTCCATGTGGGGAGGATGGGCTGCATTGCCAGGCAAGTCCCCAGGTCCCACAGGACTGCCAGCCAAGTTAGAATGTGCCTTCTCTAATCAGAATAAACCAATCACAGTTAACAGAGCATGAGTAATAGGTCCTACAATGCTAGGTGCTTCCCAGCATTCTATCACTGTCCTTATCACCATCAGGCAGGGAGAAAGGCCTTTAACTAATTACCCAAGCAATGCCATTATACAGAACACAGGACTTTACACTCTTCACCTGCACCTACAGAGCGCCTGTTGCTTCTGTTACCTGGAAATAAGAGCTGATATTGGCCTCGGGTCCAGGTGACTCCATCCTCTGCTGCAGCCTTGTCCGCTCCAGGTCCCTGGCAGCCCCTGTTTGTGGTGAAGCTGTGGCAGCCCTTCTGCAGGCCCAGGGCTGGCTCAGGGCCGCGGGTGGAGTCATTGCTCTTGCAGGCAGAGCAGTGCTGCTGGGCTGGGGAGGGGATGGCTGTGTCTGTGCTTCTCTGTGTGAAGGGCGCTCCCAGGCCCTCAGTGTGCAACTTGAGGCCCCCTCTCCTCTGCTCCCAGGAGCACTTTATGCCCATTGAAATGCGCACATTGAAATGGCACCTGGGTGAGCTGAGAAAGACACACCTAGAGCAATAATCAAACAAGAACTCAGAAGCCAAAACTAGAGCCAAGTGGTGACTGGGCTTCATTTGGGATCACATGCGTGTGCCTTACCAGGAGCAGCTACGAAGGCTGGGCCCTCACCTACAGGGGATGGAGGTGAAAACCAGACAGGCCTTACTTTCTAGAAGCAGGGGTCCTAGTGCTCAGGTGTGCTCCCCACCTTGGTCTGGGACCCTCTCTTGATTTATGTGCTCCTGTTGACAGGTGATGGTGAATGGAGATCACTTTGTGGAGTACGCACACCGTGTGCCCTTCCACCGCGTGAACTACATCTCTGTCACTGGCCCTGTGGGGCTGACACACTTCAGTTTCCAGGTCAGATTGTCCAAATGCCACCTGACCAGTGGTTGATTGCAGAGGTCAGTCTACTGTGCCTAGGCCCTGTTGGGAGGAGCCAAAGATTCCAGCTAATCTCTCACCCTGGTGACTCTGGGGAGAGGACATACCTCTGGCTATCCCTGCCCCATCCTTCTTATGGCACCATTTTTGTCCAGAGCACCTGCCTCATCCAGACTCCTTCCCCTCTTGTCTGTCACTCTGTACTCCAACTCTGGTTAGCAGGCCATGTGGTTCCATGAGACCCATTGTCACCAGCTGTGGGATCTCAGACAAGTGAGTCTGCCTCTCCCAGCCTCAGTTTCCTCATCTGTGCAAGGGGCCTAGTCACAGCCTCCCCAGGAGGTACTGTGTGGGCACAATGAAGGGATACATGTCAGAGGTCACGAAATGGCCCCCATGGGCCACCCCTGAGTCTATTGGACTCTCTCTGCATTTTCCAAGTTTGAATGTGGTGCCAACATGTACAAGGTCAGGAGCCGGTGTGTGTTGTAGAGCTGAGTGCTGGTGATGGCTGCACCACAGTGTGAAGGCCCCGAATGCGCCTCCACATCGTGAAAATGGTGAGGTTGGTAAACTTTATGTGTATTTTACCAAAAATTTTCAGGTAAGGTGATATCACACGGAAATCTGAATGTCTCGATTTTTATGAAAACAGAAAAGATTGGGGTAGGCCTGGCCCATGTTTTCACAGGGCCCCAGGCTCCTGGATTAGAGATGTTATTTCCACTTCGGTGTTTAAGTGAGCTCCTGAGATGGGAAAGGCACACAGCAGGCCCTCAATAAATATGAGTTCCTCTCTCTTTGGTCCCATTTCTTACTCTCTCCCTCTCACCTACTCTGTCCTGCCTGCCTGGCTTTCTCTCTCTTCTCCAAGCCCCTCCCTTTCCACTCCTCCTGGGCTCATTAAAGTTTCTCTTCACTCCATGTCACCTTTTGTTTTAACAGGACACCCGTGCAGTCCCTGTCCAGAAGATGATCTCTGAGGTGCAATCCTACCCCGGTCCCTCTGGCTCGCCTGAGTTCGAAGAGCAGAAACCAAAAGTGAGTTGACCATGGACACCTGGGAGGCTGAGCAGTCAGCAGGAAGGACAGGGGTCTGAGAGAGAGGCTACACCCAGCCGCAGGCAGCAGGGCGTCTGAGCCCCATCATGTGCACCCAAGGTTCCCTATCTCTAAGCACAGGCACCCAGGCCCGGGGCCTGGGAGGTATTGTGGTCCTTCCCTCCCTCCCTTAATGTCCCTCCAGTGCACCAACGCCTTCCTTTCCTGAAGCCACTGCCTGGTCCAGGCTATCTGACTTCTTCTCCCCCTCTCTCCAGTCATACCCACCCACTGCTACAGTAATTGTCACATAAGCAAATCTTATCTCATTTTCTTCATGCTTAAATCTTTTGAAGGCCCCAGGCTCAAATAAAGCTCCAACTCCCAAGCTGGATGTTGAGAATCCTCCCCAGTCCTGCCCAGCCCCCCGCCGGCCACACGCCTCACCCACGAAGACCCTCCTTCAGCCTCTACTCCTCACTCCAGGCTCCATCCTGACACCACTGTTTTGCATCTGCTGTCCTGTGCAAAAAGGACCCTTTGCCACCTCACCCCAGCCAACCCCTAACTGCCCTTCAGTGCTCTGCTTCAATGTGGCTCTTCAGAGCATCTTCCCTGCCTGGCAGATTGCTGGATGCCCCAGCCCCTCCCTGACCTGATGGACTTTTAACAACTCTGTGCACGCCAGGCACCACGTCCAGTTATAACTGTATTTACATGTCTGTCTCTGTCACTTTACCCGCTTTTTCCCCCAAACCATAAGCATGGGGTTGTGACTTGTCCCTTTGTGTATCCCCAACACTGTGCCCAGTGCCTGGAGTGCAGTGGGGACTGTAGAAATGAAGAAGGAGTGTGGTTTGCACAGTCAGTAGAAGGGGAGACCAGTCAGGGAAAGCAGACCAGTCTGCTGGGTGAGGAGGGGCCTTGGGCAGGAACAGGAGGGTGGCCTGGCCCTTCCTTGGCCATTTGAGCAGTGGAGGAAGGGGCAAGGGTGTCTCCCTACCCAGCTTCCTGTGGCCCATCACGCTGCAGGGTGGGCCCCTGCCACCTGCCACACTGACCTTAGGATGGTGGAGCTCCTGGGAGCATTTGCAGGGCAGCCCGACTTTGGCCCTGGCCTTGGGCAGACAGGGAATGCTGATACACCCACAGCCACCTGGCTACCATTTTGTATTTGATCACTTGCTATCGGGACGGGCTTGGGCAAGGTGCTTAACCTCTCTGAGCCTGTTGTCTCACTTAGCAAAAGGGAAGCTAAGGATGCCTACCTCATAAAGCACTGAAGCCAGAGCTTGGCACACAGTAGGCTTCACTAAATACTAGTTTTCACTCTCCTAGTGAAATAGGACACGGCTAGTAATGGTTTTGCCTCTGGGAGCTGAGGAGCTGTATGTCCTATGTCAGACACATCCTTCTCGCTCTCTAGAGGAGCTGGCGGGATGTCCCCTCTCCTCCACCTGATCCTCCCTGTTTTTAACCACAGCTACCGGGGATGGTGGGTGAGCATCTGGGCACCACAGGCTCAGAGAGGCTTGCTTGGGAGCAGGAAGGAAGTATGAGTCTAGGAGGCATTTCTTACTATTGTTTCAGCTGTCATATCCCCGTCCAGTGGCACCAATATTAACCACCATTTTTATTTTTCGTCCCCTCAGCCTCCAAGCTATTGGCAGGCCACCGAGGCTTCCATTGTAAGTCTCTTGCTCTCTCTTTGGAAACTCCTCATTTTGGTTCTTCCTGTAGGTTAAAAGGAAGAGGCAGGGCCAGGCATTAGGCCTCTGCCAGGGCCAATTGGCACAGCTGAGGCCAGACCTCTGGGACACTTGCTAACCGCGATGAGGGTGGGAGGAAGATTTTTGGGGGTAGGAGTGGTTGGCTGGGCTGATGAATTGGGAAACAAGCTGAACTGCCCAAGCCCCTGCCATTCTGTGGACACGATGGCCAGCATTTATTTCCTCCTGCAAAGTGAAACTATGCTAGAGAAATTCCCCTGGGAAGGAAGATGGGCCACCAGGCAGTTTTCAGAGTCTGGTCTTGGCTACTGAGAGGGTTCCCCACCTGCAGTTGCTGGGAGGGTGTGTGTTAATTGTTGCCCTCTGGTGACAGATGGCAGTCTTCACGCTGGTAAGAGCAGGTGAAAACCCCAATTTCTTTCTTCCAGTAGCAAACTATCACCCACACAGTTCAGATCACCCCTGGACAGACGTTCTCTGTAAGTCTGCAAGCTCCATCAGCACACAACCCGCTCCCTCCTGCTGGTACAAGCCGGCGGGGAGCCCTGGAATTAGGGGAGCTGCCTGTGGAGGGGCTGAGGGCAGGTGGCCATGATGGGGTCTGGGACAGTGGCAGGAAGTTGCACCAAGGCTGACAGGAGAGGGAAAGCAAATGGGAGAATCCAGGGGCAGAAGCCTCACACTGGAGCATCCCCTCTAGAGTATGTGGGGCCTGGGTGCGGGTGTGACCCCCACATTGAATTTCTTGTTCTCTTTTCAAGAGTATCCCATAAACCCGCCCCCCTGAGAGTCACCATCTTGAAACAGCAAAGGCCGATCCCTCCTTTGAATTAGCTAATCGCAAAGGACTGTGCGCCTGAGCTCCAATCAAGAGATGCGTCAGGGATTACAGAACCAAGAAGCCCACCTGCTTGGTGTGCACACACCCTTCTGCATAGAATAAAGATGTTTGCCTGGCTGCCTGGCTCCCGAGTATGATTTGTGTTCTACAAGGACCTCTGAGTCGTTACCTTATTTCTAACAGGTATACATACTAATACCGTAGAAGCTGGTTCTCAAACTTAAATCATTCTGGAAGGCTGTTGGAATAGCTATTTATTTAAAAAAAAAAAAAAAAAAAAAAGAATCAATTTTCCCATTAGACACAACATAAATTAAATTAATTCATTCCAGTTCTGCAAATGATTCTCTGTTTTAACCTTTCTTTTATACAGTACCTGTCTAATGTACGGTTTAATCTATGAACTAACACTTCTTTTCTTAAATGTATCTAACCACCCCCTAATCACGTTCAGCACTTCTTCCAGGGGTGTCTTTCAGGAAGTCAGCAGGCTGCGTCTTCACTTTTTCACTGATCACTGCCTCAGAAATGCTGTCACTGACTGACTGCTTTTCATTTATCCAAATCAGCAAGAGTTTTCTTCTAGCTCTTCAACTGCCTGTCCTCTTGGCTTTTTCCTACAGGCTTAGCAACATTAACACTCTTGGTGGCCTCTTAATGTTTTAAAATAGCCCTAATCGTCCATTTCACTAGCTGGGAAAGAAAAAAAAATATTCACAGCACAATTTCTTGAGAGGTTAACAACAGGAGGTTTAGGGGGAAACTGAATCTCATTCTCTCCTTTGTTTGTGACCTAAGAGATGCTTTTGGTCATGCTGAGGTAGCAGCATGAAAGGGTTGTCAGGTTGAGAACCAAATGTTTTTGTTGTTTTTTTTAAATATATTCTATTGATTTTGTACAGAGAGGAAGGGAGAGAGATAGAGGGTTAGAAACATTGATGAGAGAGTCATAGATCAGCTGCCTCTTGCACACACTGGGGATATGCCCGCAACCAAGATACATGCCCTTGACTTGAATTGAACCCTGGACCTTTCATTCCCTAGCTGATACTCTATCCACTGAGCCATACTGGTTTTGGCCAAAACTTCCTAATTCTTACATCTCTGTCCCCTCTTCCCAGAGTGCCCACATTCTCCAGGACTTTTGAGTCCAATGCCAGACTTTGCTCCTGTGGTCCCAGCTTTCTGATTCTGGCCACTCTCCCTAGGGGGACACACTCCTGACGGGGTCATTATCACTGAGGAAGCTAAGGCCAGGGAGCTAGTCCTATGGCTGGGAGGCCCGAGATGGTAGATTTCACTGGTTTACCGCTCCTCCTGCCTGTCACCCTGTGCTGTGCTCTCCCCATGGACAGAGAGCTCCCCTTAGCACAGGAAGGGGGTGCCCTGGGGCCTCCCAGGGACAGTGTCCTCTCCCCAGTGAGGACTTTCTGGAGCCAATGAAACCAGTTGGAAAATCAGCCTCACATCCTGCTTGCAGAGTTCCCCACAGCCACACCAGGTGAGTAAGGAAGGCCCAGGACCTCAAGATATTTTGGGAACCTTGAGAAGAGAGGAATTCACTCCAATCTATAAGTATCCCAGGAAAAATCTGATGGTGTGTCCTTGGTTGGGCTGCCTGGCTTCAGAAATATTCTAAAAGCCCCATCTGAGATTCCTTATGAAAAATTCTAGCACCCTCTGGGTATCAGATTCTAGTCCCGTTCATTGTTCTTGAGATTATATATTCTACCTGTGTCCTGGCCCAGATCCTGAATTCTTCTCGTTTCCCCAACATCTGACTACAACTCTCCAAACCCAAGTTTCCAATTTCCACTCCAACTCCTCCGACTTAGAATCCTGGAGAACTAACACCGCCCTTTTCCTGAAGCCACGGAAGCTGAAGCTGGACAACTGGATATAAACTTCAGAGAAGTCAGCACAGCACATGTATGGACAATCCTCGAGTCTAGAGACATTCACGCTGCAAACTAAGAGCAGCTGTCGGCATTGCCGTTGCCTGCCCTCTCTCCATCTAACCATGCTGGCGCCGGACAGCGAGGCATCCTCTTCACTGGCTGACTCCAGACTGAGACTGGTGCACAGTCTTCTCCCAGCATTCACTTGTGTTTCCACAGAAACACAGCATTCTCCTTCAGCATTGATGTTACTATCTATCTCTCTCTTCTCTCCCTTAGTAAACACAGGACAGCTTTAGCCATAGTCCTAATTTTTGGAACCCAATGCATACCTGCGCCCTAAACTGACCTATTGTCAGGACCAGGAGACGGGTTCCTTGAGGTGGAGCAATCTACCTACTTAACTTCCGCACTGAGACTTCCCGGGAAAGTTTCAAAGGCAGAACTGAGGAGTACAAAAACTCCCCACTCCACCCCCAAAAATGTGTCTTTGGCATATGTATTATGTAAACGGGTTGTTTTTAAGACGTAGAACATTCAGGAAATTTTTAAAAATCTAATCTGCCCTCCAACTGCTTAAAAGAATTGGGATAGGGAGGAAGAGAGCTCTTACCAAACACAGCCTTTATTTATTTATACTAGAAAGACTTCTCTGCCTGGCAAGGCAAACATGGCTAACCAAATATTTGTTCTTCCCATCTCCCTGTGACTTGTCTTCCTTCCCTGGGAAGTCCCAGGCCCCTCCCCCTCCCCCTGACCTTAGGGCAGCATCTGAGCCTCAACTGTCTGCCTGCCTGTGGGCCTCCTATTCTCATGGAGCTCTTGTACAAGCAAAATTATATTTGGTGTTTCTCCTGTTAATCTGTCTCACAGCAATTTAATTATAAAGTAGAAGAAAAATGTTCCCTCTCTGACATGTCACTTCCATCCATCCACAAATCATTTTTCAACTTACAAAACTGAAACCTGTAGCTATTAATAACACATTTTTCTCCACTCCCCGCAGTGCCTGAAAACCACCAGTCTGAAGGCTTTTCTATATATAAGTTTGACAGGAACCGCATAAGAGTGGAGCCATCCATATATGTCTTTTGTGTCTGACTTATTTCACTTAGCAGAGTGCCCTCCAGGCTCATCCAGGATGTATCATGAGTCAGCACTTCTGTCCTTTTGGGAGAGCCCAAGTGGGTGAAGAGGGCAAAGGCAGCCAAGTCAAGCTGCAAAGTTCAGGAGAAGGGTGTCCTGCTGAGCATCAACCATATGCACACAAACCAGTCACATTTGCCTGGAGGGTGTGGCTCAATGGTTGAATATCGACCCAGGAATCAAGAAGTCACTGGTTCCATTCCAGGTCAGGGCACATGTCCGGGTTGAGAGTATGTGCAGGATGCAGCCCATTGATGATATTTCTCTGTCATTGATGTTTCTGTCTCTCTATCTCTCTACCTTCCTCTTTCTCTAAAAATCAATAAAAAAATATTTTTTAAAAGTCACATTTGATATCATATCTACTGAAGATGTGGGCATCTTTGATGTCAAATTCAGATTCCTTGGTGTTTAGATGGAGAAGGTGCAGCTCCATATTCAGGATTTACTTGAGATGCCATCTCAAGGAGTAGTTTGATGAGGTTAAAGTGAATGTAAACCTTTGCACATACCTGCTGAACAAGAAATTCCATGACTCTGCTGGTGTGGTTCAATGGTTAAGCATCGACCTATAAACCAGGTGATTAGGGTTTGATTCCTGATCAGGGCACATGCCCAGGTTGTGAGCTAGATCCCTAGTTGCTGGAGAGGCATGCAGGAGGTACCCAATCATCCTTCATCATGGATTCTCCTTCAGCATTGATGTTACTATCTATCTCTCTCTTCTCTCCCTTTCTCTCTGAAATCAATAAACATATATTTTTAAAAAACAAATGAAATTTCATGGAAAGTGAAATGCCTGTGGAAATTTTATAGATTTTGCATCACCTGGATTAAGAAATGAATCTGTTGCCCTAGCCAGTTTGGTTCAGTGAATGGAGCGTTGGCCTGTGGACTGAAGGGTCCGGGTTTGATTCCATCCAGGAGCACATGCCTGGGTTGCAGGCTCCATCCCCAGTAGGGGGCATGCAGAAGGCAGCTGATCAGTGATTCTCTCTCATCATTGATGTTTCTATCTTTCTCTATCCCTCTCCCTTCCTCTCTGAAGGCAATAAAAATAATTTTTAAAGAAGAAATGAATCTGTTCAGTATTTTTGTTTTTAAACATGATTGCAATCACTGCTTACAAAAATGTCATTTAAAATATATATATATATATATATATATATATATATATTATTGACTTTTTACAGAGAGGAAGGGAGAGCAATAGACACTTAGAATTATCGATGAGAGAGAAATGTTGATCAGCTGCCTCTTGCACACCTCCTATTGGGCATGTGCCCACAGCCAAGGTACATGCTCTTGACCAGAATCAAACCTGGGACCTTTCAGTCTGCAGACTCATGCTCTATCCACTGAGCCAAAACAGTTAAGGCAAAAAAATGTCATATTTTTAGAAAAGAAAACAAAAATTGTTCAGAAGAATGTACCTTTTGGTCATTTGATACTACAGCACAGTGATATGCAAAATGAATGACTCTAAACACTTGCACAAATACTGTGGGACAGGTATTCTGATTTAAAACTTAGAGCATTCTGTGAT